GTTGGATGTTCACTAGAGCTTCCTCCAGTAGTTGGATCCCAAGGACCTGTACTTGCCATCCATCAACTCACTTGAGATTAAATTACTGGATTTAGAGAACACACAAATATTATAAGTACTGTTTGTAAATCAATAGTTGGTCATTGGTTCATTACACAAGCATAGCGTTTCTTCCAGGGAAAAATTTTTCAATCTTTAACTGTTCTAATATATGGCATTTACGGTCAAAAGTAAAATGTTATTATATGTTTTGGAAAAGTAAAATGGCTTTATTTGTGTATCACAGCTGACAGTGGTATCAGTTTGGTGTGAAAACTTACTAAAGGTAGGTATATTTTATAATCAAAGATTTCAAAAAAAAATCCTAGAGTAACAAAAACAATGTTTGAGTATCTTATGCAAATGAAATGTTGACAATAAACTTCCTGCAGATGTACAATTACATGGAAAATATATTCACAACAAAATAATGAAATACAAAATAATGAAGTGTCATGAAAGCTCACAGGTTGTTTGTAAATGGATTAGATTATGTCTTAGCTAGTATCATATTTCGTTACAGCTGTACCATTTGATTTTTTTATAAAACTCTTCCATTGAAGCCTTCATAATAACTCTCAGATGACCAAAGTACTTCTATAATCAACTATGCTTGATGTAAAGGAAATGTAAACAGCGTAAAATAAATCTAAATGTTTTGTAAATAAAACCGTTTTTGACAGTTCAAGTATGATGACCATACCTCGCGTAGAAATGAAATGTTATACTAGGTTTCATATCAAATTAATAWAGACAGCACGCAAACCATACCACATACCATACCCTTCGAGCAATTTTCAAAACTCAGAACCGTTTTTTAATGCATTTTTAATGACAAGAGGAGGTAGGCCGTATTGTTTGCTTAAGACAGTGAACAATTAAAGAATTACAAAACGACGCTGTACTGTCCATGCATTGATATTGTGGATTAGCGAGAGTACGATAAAAAAGAATCGAGAGAATTTTGGSTACACKCGYGCAAATCAAGTTTACTGGATTAGATGTCACAATTTATAATGTTTTTGTGGTTTTTAACATGTTTTTCTCAGTATTTTCGTGTCACTTGAATGATCAATTCGTAACCCCTTGACTTGTAATTTTTGTTTACATGATCCATGCTATTTTTATCAAACGCTGAAGTTTTTCATGTACTAGAATCATATTTTAATGCTTAAAAATACGGTTGGAAAAATAAAACGTAATGTTTTTCGGCTTTTTTAAAAACAAGCGAACAAAAGAATCACAACAAACAGATTTAGAAGACAATAAAATGGTATAAGAAAATACCGTCCCGCTGTCTGCCAGAAAAATAAAGTTCTACTAAAACTGCATCGGGGAAAAGAAACGAAAAATGAGTGCTCTGTTCACAGATGCTAGCAGACAGTTACTTGAATTATATTGAACAAAGTAATTAGAAACAAACTAGAACATCATTGTAAACCAACTGTGTGATGTAAACAACGTTACACGTGCGAAACAATCATTCGAAATCTTGTCACTTCAAGGAGTATGCCTTTGATCATTCATATACTTAGTAGAAAAGACTTTAATACAATAAAACTAACCTTCAGAATTTCCAATATTCAGGTAGATTKTAAAACACAGACCATARGTTTCGGCATCTCAAATCATCACCRCAAACTCATCCATATTGACATCTCTCGGTGGCGTCTGAACTCTTCGCGRATGTTATCAGAAAAKGAAKTGAGCGATCTGTATTGACCAACTTCAAATCTATAGCTTACCAAGGCTGTGGTACTTGTGAGAGAGTTTAAGCCGACATAAAGACGATATTCAGTATGATCGCTTCGATTAATCTCAGCCGTTACAAAATACACAATGAACTGTTGAACTTGAATTGAACCGCGCTAAAAAATTTACATACTGAATTTCATAGTACGCATGACCGAGTCATGTACTGCTGACCTCTTATAACTCGTGGATTGCATGTACATTAAAAACTTAGCGCATTCGCCGCGCATTGGTTCAACATTTTTTTTCTTACAGCGTAACGTCTTTTACAATCAAGCAATTCTTAATAGTACATGCAAAGCCGGTTTTTGTACACATACAGATCATTTGCATRATCCTGCRATTGCCATTTTTCAAAAATTGTCAACTCTTTTTTTTCCATTAAAGCATAGTTACTAGACCTAACTATGATTATAGCTATGTTCATAATCTTCAATCAATCACATGAAATACTCTTGGTGATCCAACTTTATTTACAATATTCAACTTTAACTTTGTGTGACAAATAATTCAATGTTGCACTTAAAAAGGGGGGGTAGACCTAAAGTGAATGGATTTGCATGATAACACAATCATACTTCATCTGAATGCTCTCAATTTTGACTGTTACATTAACTATTTATTGATAAAAATGCCATATGAACTTTTGCAAATTTGTGTTATTTTCAAATTTATGCCATTTAGCTTCCTTTTTTCAAGGTATAAAGCTGAAATTTTCAGAAGTGTATGGTTTATCATTGTATTCACCCAGACATTGCTTTGATTGACAAGGTCAATTTAGGTCACATGTCRTGTCCTGCAAGGGACCTATTACTTGACAAGTGGGCAAAGCATTCTGGTATATRAATATRAAGCGATCATGCATACCACCCACTMTTTCCTATAAAAAAGAAAAATTMATGCAWTYGAAGTCTACCATATTWTTATTAAATTAACAATATGTATGGATAAATTTTAATACAAAAAAACACATTCATGACATGCATCTGAAGTGCACAATGTTGAATATGTGATGTCAACTAAAYTCAAATTAATTTTTTAATAACTGACATGTAGTTTTGGGTGACATTAAATTTCTAATTTGATCAGAGACCATCACACTATAATTTAATTATAGCTCCTGTACAAGAATTCTTAAATAATGTTCAATGAGACCTAAGCACTTAATCCATGAAGTACTAAATTTTACAAATTTGTTTGTTTCCTTTTGTCTAATTAACACCTATATAGTAGCAATTAGTAATATTTGTTTCACAGATTAAGTGCATCTACTCTACAAGAATTCTTATTTGTACTGTACAAGAAGTCTAAGATATATTTTTGTACTGACGCAATTATTGCTATATCATATCCTTCTTTCAAAACTACCTCGCTATGTTTTACACTTTCGGTGCAAACTGATATTCAAAAAAAGTCAGAAACATAATCTATGTAGCTAAWTTACCATTACAATCTTATTATATTTTGCAAAACATTCAAATAATTTTTTTCAACTTGGAAATGGTAATATTGACAGGTTATGTGGAAATAAGCYAGCTGAACTTGGAAWTGTGGACAGCTGTTTTAATATTTATTGGGTGCATATCTAGTGAATTGTTAAGTTCCCCAACAAAAATGATACCAGTAGATGAGAAAACAGGCACAAGGTGTGTGCTTAATGTTTATGGTTTTATAAATTGTAATTYACSAATAGACAAWTTTCACGATGAYATCATATACTACGACTRCCAGAATGCTTTGCCTACACTATATTGTAATGTAATCAGTCCCTATTGTTTTATTAATCTACAAAAGGGAATAAAACTCTTAATAACGATGAAAATATACAGAGTATTCTGGTAGTAGTAGTAAAATAATGCCATAATGCATATTTGCCTATTACACTTGTTCTTACATGATATTGCCAAATAAGTTTAGATGTAAATACAATGAGTAATAAATTCAAAATGATCTCTTTTCCAAAGAAAAGTAATTTTCATTTGACATGGACCAGGCCATAAATCCACCATTTCAACTTCTATTGGTCTCTACAGTTTATGAGATGCCCAGGGACTACATGTATTTATCAAAATTGACAGACTTTACAGCATTCGATAAGTGAATTTATCTGTCAGCCAAATTTTGAATGTTTCAATAAGAGATATCAAATTTAYAAAGCAATAAACTTATCAGAAAAAGTAATTTGTTACCTGTATTCTAAATAGAAGCATACACCTTTCCTTGGGCATCTAATAATTCATGTCTTCATAATACAAAAAAGATGAACTGTTTTCCAAAACAAAATCTGTTCATCTTGCTAATCTCTTGTGCATTTTATCAATGTAATATTTCTTTGACTTTAAGAAAGGTTTATAAGGCAAGATGCTTTAGAAAGCCATGTGCTATCTTCCTGGACTTGCAAACATTCTTATATAATATTCTACTCGACGTTTGAAGGAATCCTTAAAGATATAAACAAATAAACTATCAWTATTAGTGRCTGCATAGCATCATAMTAGAYTCTTTCATTTTATTGYGGRCTTAATACAAAGATTTAAATTCATAACATTTGRTAAATTGTCTTTTGATAAATTCAATTTGATAAAAAATAACAATAAATAAAGTAAAAAAAGTTGTACATGTACTGTACCTTATTTTCTTCAAACTGCTGTGATGCTTCAACATTAAGCGGATCATCAAAATTCAATAAATCCTGAAAGAGGATAATATTAATATAATATTATAATATTACATCACAATAATATTATCTGCACACAAATAAAGTTGAACAGCATATGGCTGTACATATTAAGATAACAAATTCTAAAACAAATACACATGTAGCAATGAAGAGAAAAAACTATTCTTTTACTACAAAGTTGTATTTTATCTTGATTGAGACATCCACATTCTGTTAAACTGTGAAAAGGCTGAATTGCCCTGTACTTACTGTAAATAATGAATTTAAGCCCCATACTACATCCTAAAAAGAGATTAATATTGTTAGAAAGAACATCAATAAAACGATAAAAAACTTTAAGTGTCTCTGAGTAAGAGAGTTATAGTTTTTGAGATAAAATAAACATATTGGGACTTTGCAAAATGGTTGTGAGATCAAGAGCATAGTGGCTTTTTGTAATATCAATGTGGCTGCCCAATAAAGGGCAAATGYTTAATAAAACTATTGATACTTACTTTAAGTTTTCTAGTTGGAGCCCATCCTGAACCATCTAGTGTATGTTGCCGTAATAAACTGCACAAACAGAAAAAAATACATATATAATGCATTATTAAAAACACTTTTCACCGCCCACGAAGTCTTCACAGGCTACTAATATACCAAAAGAAAAGATGGGAAATTCTTCCAAGAAAAAAACACATTTTCCAATTACATGTTAACTTTTTCAAAAGCTACCATTTTATTAGTTTAACAAGCTGTCTGTAATAATTTTAAGTGATTAAATATACGTCTAAACCAAGTGTTTCTTACCTTAAGCAGACCTCTCCTGTTTCACTAATATTTGGATGCCAAATTTTGGTATTGCAGTTAACAAAAGGAGGCTGTTGGTTACAACAAACACTTGTCTTATAAATCTACACAAAATTTTACGTGCTGCTAATACTACATGTACTTTATCTGTGTGACAGTCCAGCACCTTTTAAATGTTTTTTTCTGGATTACTTACCTGGATATTATATTCTTCAGGGACAACGATATGAAAAATAAATTTTCCATCTTTCCAAAATCCTTCATCTAGAATACACAGAAAGATAATTTTGTCAGTTAAAGCATTTTTGACTTTTTTTGTCAGAATGTTTTCAAATACTGCACATCAACAAGATAGTTAGTATATATGTAATTATTACTGGAGTTAACATTGCAGTAAGCTGTGCAGACAGACGAGGCAAAACAACTATAGAGACTATAGAGAAAGAGAAAGGYGAGGCAGGGTAGAGTACATGGGTATTCATTAGGCAGGAGATTTAGGAAATCTTGGCTATGTGAAAACCCTACATGAATGTACCACAAGGCACGAKGATAAAAAGTMACAGGAGTTAGYAAGCTATGCAGCAAGGTTGYAGAAAAGRAAAAAAATCSTATTTAGAACTACAAASTTTGAAGTCACATAAAAAAATGTAATTGTTTATTTTAGGAAGGTATGCTATATAATCTGTGAATATTTTGTACTGCAAACTACATCATACACGTATGTGTAACAGCTACTTACCAGGAACTACAGTCAAGTGAAAGTCATATAAACGATTGGGATTTTTATAATCAACTTTGCATGTTGCTAAAACAGAAATAAAATAAATGAATGAAAAGGTAATAATGATAGCAATGATGATAATAATATTCTTAAAAACATACTTCAAATTATTTATTAAAATTATTAGTAATCCTGATAAAATTAATAATGTGAGCTTGTAATGTTAGAACACTTGCTCCCAAATAGTGGTCATATGACTGATATCAGGTCATGATTGCAAAGACAAGTATGGTATGAATGATATGTAAGTCACAGAAAATAAATGGCAGATTTCTAGAAAAAAATATTATATAATCTTTCTGGACATATATTTTATCTCAACATCCTCAAACATTTTAGCTATAAGAATTTTCAGTAATAATACATGTACTTTCTTTTTTAAGCACTTTCAAAATCATCTTAAAATTCGATGATTTGTATGTGATCACTTGCACATAAAGATTATGTACAATATAAGTTAAAATTCACCTGAAAAACGATATCTAATCACTGAAGTGTACAGTACAACATTGAATATCACTACTTTGTTTTTCAAAAAATTCTCTTTTTGTTTATGTTCTATTTATCAACTTTTAAAAGAGTTTTTCTAATGCTTTTTGTAATACGAAAACTGATCAATATCTCTTTGTCGTGTACATCATTCGAAATCATCACCTAAAAATAGCAGCATTTGCATGCTTGACTTTGTGAAATTAACTGAATTGAGCTTTAATMGATRAATTCATAGCAAAACACACAATTTATCTCTAATTAGCACTTACAGGGTAAATACTCTTCCATTTCTTGTGCTTCTGCAAATATTAAACAAGCAAAAGCTTAGTAAAACGCAGACGCAATTTGCCAAATAAACACTCACGCAACTGAAAAGTACCTTTGATTAGCAAAGTGTCTCTGACTGATATTCTTTGTGCTTTCCGYGATTCACTTGGACTTTGCCCTTTATCCCTCTTCTCTCTTTCCTGCTTGATCTTTTTGGAAAGAGTTATCATGGTTTAAGAGAGATAAAGGCGCGTTTCATTGAACAGTCGGTCCACAAACTTTCTGCTTCGTTTTCCTCATCCTTGATAGACTGAGCCTGCAATTACAGCGGATAACCTAACCAAAAGAGCCCGCGATGACCAAGGTCAGTGAAACTCGACCCACTCTCTTTTGTGTAACTCACGGTCGTTGTGTTGTATACGTCGTGGATGCTTGAACCTTGATGTGTGGGATTTTTTCCAGGTTTTGTTTGGCTTTTTAAAGGAATTTGCGCCAAATATCGCACATCTATTGAAAGTTAARGGCTTGGGGTAGCAACATTTACTCATACAAGCTCAAATAGACCTCCAGATTAGGTTTTTGGACGTGATTTGTAATATTGTCATAAAAATGCTGATTCATTCGGCTGATAAGCTTATCAGCTGAGTTTTGGTTGGACTCAAGACTTACAAGGAATTTGGAGTGTCTGGTTAGAAAAAAACWTTCAGGTAACACTTGAAATCCTGGCCTTTTGTAATTTTTTTTCATTTTAAAGGTATTCTTGTAAAATTATTTTATATATGTTTTGTTTTGGTCATTATAAGTAACTTGCAGACATCATGAATTATTGATAAGTCATAATCATATAGTCTGTTGATATTGGTTGATACTTCTTGAATTCATATTAGAGACATAAAGCCGTCTGAGATAGAAGACTCAAAAAAATTCAAAATTCAGTGATTTATATTTAAGTTTTCCATCTCAATTTGTCCGTCATCAGATAAGATGAATGCAACATGTACAATTAATGCTCTCGATAGAAATATCAAAAACAGTATTAACTCTTTTAATAACCTCTTACATCTGATTTCTTAGACTCTGRAWCAAAATGGTTTTATAATCTTGATTGTTTGACTATGGACTCTACAAAGAAAGAGRCAATTGGGACTAATCCCTTTTTAGCRTTRTTTACAACMAACTTTGGAACTGGCAGTCATGGCAGTCTAAGGTTAGACCAAGAAATCACTACCAAGAAAGATCCACTTCCAAGACTTGTGAGTGTCAAAGGTCAACAAGAACAAACAGAAAATATTGACCAGCCTTCTYCATTATCTACAAATAAAAATACTGTTGAAATAGATGGACAGATAATAAATGACATACTTCAAAGGGTATTCTTAATAACTTTAAAGAATGGTAAGAAATGACATGTTAAGTTAATCTTAAAATCAAGATGCAGAAATTTATATTGTCAGCAGTTGCATGTGCAAAATATATGACTGTGATGTTACCATCAAAACTTAGTCAAATGACTAAGAAAGATTTTTCACTTTGTTGCTGATGCCTTCAGGTCACAGTATATATGGCATGAATGTGAGCCAAGTACTGTACCTATAGCAATGGGTTCTATAACAAAGGTCTTTTTGCTTTTCATTTTGGTAGGGGGGGGGAGTTCCTTGATTACAGGGGTCCTCACTGAAAATTCTGGAAGTGACACAWGTAGACTGTCATTTTGGTTTGAGTTTCAAAAATTTTGTTTTGTTTCTTTGATGCTACATATATCGTCAAATGCCCTTTGCKTGTATATGAGGKKKTTTTTTTCATATGTCTTRATTGTATAATTTTTAGACAGYGATCAAGTTGGATGTAAACAAATTGGRCCACAACCMAAGAGATGYGTTTACTTAAAAGACACAGCTAGTGACTCTGATGGAGGACATTTACTTAGTTGGAACARCATTGACCAGGTAACAAATAATAAACCATTTTTCCTATCAAATAATACTGCCTGAAGGTGTAGTTGACAARTCTTCTTTTTATAGCTTTTCCATAAAATGTCTAATTAATGAATGTCATGTGTTCATGGATGAATKTCTAAAAGTACTAATCACATCAAAGTATTTCAATTTTAGGCCTAAATTACACTGTTTCTAAAGTAATRAATTATTAATATTATTAATAGGCAATAATGGAGAGATTAACGATGGATCATCCAAGGTCAAATGTAGTAGTGACAGGRGGAGCACACTCCACATCTCTGACGGCAGAAATTGAGGCAGGAGAACTAGCCAGCATCAAGTACCTCACTGCATGCTATAAACGGAGTTATGATGACTGTTTAAAGTTTAAGGTAAGATTACCTGAACATTCCACAGAAGTACACAGAAGTAAGATGAAGCAGACATAGCAATAGGTTTTCACAGAAATAGAGAAAGAAAGCTCAAACAATCAAAGAAAAGGAATTTAATCAARCAACTTAATATTATTAACCTGACACCCATCCTTGAACTTTCAATTTTCCAGAAGTACCAASACACTTAACAACTATACATTTTACCACAGATTTCTTTTAATATATTTTATGTGTATTCATTTTAGGATAAGAAACCTGAATTGTATCAATTCTTTGAAAAGGCTAAAACATTAGCAGTTTTGTATACTGGGTAAGTACATAATGTTAACTTTATTAATGTTATTACAATTGCTTATGCAGCACAATCATATATATTTCAGGGGTTGTGTAAGGCTGTATGAATTATGAACAACACTAATAATCCAGCTCATAAATCCTTACAGAAACGACATAAACTCATAAATCTATTAAACAACATGCAGACCAAATACAATGTACTTTGACAATTTTTTCACTTTTTATGTGTCATGTGCATCATAGTGGAATTATTGATTGATAGGCAGTTGGATTAATTATTTCCTGATTGATTATGAATGCCTATTACTGATTAATTAATGATAAATTATGAATTTTTCAGAACTTGTTTACTGAGTCCTGAGATGTTCCCAAACCAAGACACTCACAAACAACTTTTCCATTTGTTGGTTTCATCTCAAGGTATTGAGCAGAATTTGAGAATTCATGTGTGCAAAATTTCAAAGGATTTTGAGCCTAATTTCAAAAGCTTTTGACATGTCACATGCTGTGTCTATTCTAATCAGTACATGTATGATTCCCTCATATGAACATAACAAACTTGTCACATCATGTAAATTGGCATTAGAAATAAAAAGAGTGAATTTGGATAACTATAAATATATAAATAATGCCCCTAATAGTTTTGTGAAATAATTTTTAATATGCTTGAATCATCTTCTAAAACTCTGTGCAATTTTGCACTCCATGCATCATGTACATGTACATGTTTTATAGCTAAAGAATAAAATACTACTGTTTTAGATGAGAGAAGTTTGCCTGCTTTCCTGAATGACTTGATAAAGAGTTATCCTAATAAAGATGATCTTGTAAGTTGAATCCTGATTATTAAATGAATATGTAGTTATTGGATACAGGTTAAAATCATATTGAACCTGAACTACAACAGCTATATTGTAAGGACCAGCAGATCATAATGAATAGACTACCTTAGTTATATACTCAGCCCCAGCCCCTTTTTTCCAGATGTTTTACTCTAGAACCCCACTAAATTGTACATGTAGCTATAAAAGCCTTGGATATGTGGCATTGCAGTGCCAAATTTTCAGYAATAGAAGATAAACTTAAGATAATTTTTTTTCTCATAACAGGAGTCAATCTTTTCTCCTATCATCTTCTTGTTGAATGAAAGTAAAAGTGAAGTTGCACTCTTTGGAGCCCAGGCTTTTCAACATCTAGAACTGTTTTTGTTGTTCTCCAAATCTACTGAACTGGCAGAGGTGAGTATTTTCTAYCAAAAACTTGCTGCAAATGGTCCTTCCAAGATTTTGCAACTTAATGTAAAATTGGCACCATTTGAGAGTRGKGAGAGGTCAATGAACTTTAATTGTGCTCAGATTTGTATTGATATTTTCTGTATYTTAACGTACAATGTAGATGKTGGTGTCATCAAAATTGTGGTTACCATCGCCTCCACCATCTTTCATGGGCCACATGACGGTCACKCCTGGGAAGTCATTCCAGAATCAAACATTGCTTGGACCCTACCTGGCATTAACAAGCATTTCATCGGATCCAAATAAACCATCAGTAAGTTGAAAAACGTAATTTGTTTTAGTGCTGAATTTAATTATTTATAGGTTTCCCATTTCCATTCACTTTCTCTTTATTTATTTCATTTCCTATCCGTTCATAAAATGTAGTATTAAATCCATTTCTTTGTTTGTTGTCACTTTGTTTCTTATGTATTTGATGAGAAGAAGAAGGCTTTAATGTTCATTATGGATATTGTATCTTGCATTTAATTCCGTGATCTGGGCTTTTATTACAATGTTCCCTAAGTAGGGGCCTCTGATTTATATTAAGCTAAAAATCCCTTGACAAAGTGTGCACTTTTAGGTAACAACTGAGCTCTTTTTGCAAATGCAGCTGTGCACTGTCCACACTGTATGAACACCTATTGTACTATAAGTAATTATTATCTAGAGGACATTAATATTCAGCATTTGATAATAATTTATTTCAGGAGTATTTCATGCAGCCGTCTGAGCAATCTCAAGTTGAAATGCAGGCAACTATGGCAAGCTTAAGGACTCAGCTAGACTCACTATCAAACAAACTTCACAGGGTAATGAATGAGATGATATATATTCTTGATATTTCATGTTTCATAATATATTTGTTAACTTTAAAAAAATGATCAGATTCATGTACAGATATATTGCAGTGTAATATGTCCATGTGTTATTTATCGGCAGGTCGTATTTGAAGTGGTTCGTGCATCTCCAAACTGTAAGCATGAATTATTAAAATGGATTGGAATGTGYCTTCATAGCAACTCAGCTAGACAAAAGGTATTTATCAATATATGATTTTAGCTGCTGTGAGAACATATTGAATATTGATATTATTATTATTAAGTCAACCACAATCTATGTGAACAGTTTGTTTCATCATTAATTTTCAAATTATATGATATACATGTACAGGTGTACATAATATTATTTTAGAAGATTACAAAACAAACTACTGTATTTCGATGATGTACATGTAATTTTCACTGCAATATTTGTATTCAATGTTTCATATGGTCCTTTTTGCCTATTTTATACAGCTCCGTTTTTTGTATTATCATTGAGTACTTTTTTAGTTTTTTTGATGAAATTTTCTATATTATAATATTATTTTAATTAGAATAAATTGAATTAGAATAAATAGAAGTCATATAACTTTACTTGGTTTCCAATCTTTATAGCTTCTGACGATCTAGTTATATATATAACTTATGACTGGTATTAATAATAATAGTTCATATTTTAAATTTTGTAATTACATTTTTTGTTTCCAATTTGTTTTTTAGATGATGTCAGAGCTCTTGTCTATTACATTAGCAGATGATGGTTTTTTCCTGAATCTTGGAACTTTGTTACTAAAACTTTGCCAACCGTTTTTGGATCCTAACTCACTCAGGCTTCTTAAAATTAATCCACAATATTGTGCCACTGTTTCTAATTTGAAGTCAGTTGGAATACATTGTGTAGGGCTRGAAGAAGAAACAAGACTTGTTAGCGGTGAAGAAGGTCAGTCAGCTAAAGTTGGTTTTATTTAAAGTATTACATGTACAGTGTCTAGTTATTATTAATAAAATTATTAAATGTTTCATTTTCTTCCAGAACAAGTAAAACTGAAAGAGGATGAACCATTTGGTTTTGTTACAGAACTGTTTTTTATGACCCACAGATGTTTGCAATTAGGTACTAAGTCTATCACTGTTTGATAAAATTAAGAATTGTTGAATATAAATAATAGTAATTGTTATTAAAACAATATTATTGTTTTAACAGATTGAACCAGTAAGATTACATGTAGATCATTTTAATTGCTTGCTTGATTGATTGATTGATTGTTGATTGACTGATTGATTGTTGATTGATCACATTATGCAAATAATGAAGAAAACATTTGATATTTGATTGTACAATATGCAGACCATTACATAAATGGTACACTTTGACACTTTTTAACCGGCATATAATTATATACTTACCTATTGCTAATATGTTTTGTATGATTCCATTAAGGACTTTGGAAAGTATCAGAAAAATATAAAAAGCTGATGGGTGATCTTGCTCAGGTATAAATAATAATTATATTAAATTAACTCTTTTGTTATATTATTATTAAATTTTAATTTGGTATCAAAATACCCCATACTCACAAAAAGAAACTACAAAAGATGTAACCACAAATAAGGTACAACTACCTAGTTTTTTACGTATTAAATCGTAAAAAATATATATCATTACCTGATGTGTGTGATGAATCCAACAAACCACCTCCTTAGAACTTGCACCAGGAAAATTCCTGGATCCGCCCCACCATGCTGTAACTATGATGTATTAAAATTAACTTTATTTTTTAGTTACAAAGAGTTTATCAAGATGCATCCTCCCAAGGAGCAAACAATGAAGTTATTGGCAGATTGAARACTAAATTTGAGTTTGGAATAATTCAGCAATTATCTCTTAAGGTAGAAACTTATCATAATTTATTGTTAAGTGCTATATAGAGCAGATTTCGTATGAGTGGGACACCGTTACCACACGGTTACTGCACAGTTACCGGACCTGGCCTTCACAATTTTGGTGAACCAATGGGGCACTAGAATTTGGTTACAGTAYGATTAYGGTCAYMGTACAGTAMCGTCCGTTTCCCACTCATACGAAATCCGCTCTAATTTAATATTTAATGGTTAGACTTTAATACTTGGATTATGGAAATAAGCAACATCTAAAGCCTCACATGTATGTAGTACAACAAATACTTTCTGATGGATCACAGTCAGTATTGAACTATTTTAAAATCAACCAGCCATATGAAACACATGCAGTGCTTAGCAATACCATACTGACAATATTTAAAGACTACAAAATAATGTCCTTATTGGTTTTATTGCATCCCTTTTTAGACACACTTGCTCAATCCGTCCATGCTGGAGCTTGCAATGCGCTTTTATGTTGCTACAGCATCTTGGTTGAATCAAATTGCTTTGGCTGGAGATGACTTCAAGGATATGACAGCATTTAGACCTGTGAAACTTCCTCTACCAGCTCAGGTAAATAAATTCACATCATCTTTTCATGTACTAGTTCAAAAAAGCTGAATCAAAGTCGGTTGGCTTCTCCATAGTTAAATAGCAAACAATTATTATTCTGTTTTGCACAAGACTCCTCCAAGACTAGCAGGTTACAGGATTAATGATACTTTTTTCCTGTTAATTTCTAGACACCAGCAGGCCTTCTTTTTATCCCAGAGTTTGTAGTGGAAAACATGGCAGATTTCATTATTTTTGTCAGGTCAGTTTTGGCTGTTGTTTCTCTGACTGATCATCACATCATTTAGGCCAAGGTTATACCATAAGCCACTATCTCTCTGAACTTCATTGCATTGGAGGGATGTAATCATGGAACTTGCTGTTGTTATTGCTGTTGCTGTTGTTAAACTTAAGATGATCTTCTATTATTGTTGACAGGCATTTTAGTGAAGATACTTTAGAATCTGCAGGAGCATCATTRCATCATATTTTGACATTCTTTGTTATCTACATGGGGTAGGTAAAATATAACTTGTCTACTGTTTATTGCAGCTGATACAATATGGTGCATTGAAGTTTCTGATTTGAAACTTGCAGGGATGTTTACATGTATTCAGAAAACTTACTTCATTTCAACCCTTTCCTGTGAAAATTGTACATTACATAACTATTCAAGCATGCATTTTACTTCAYTGCTGCAATGCATWTTTTAAAYTTATTATTATTYATTTATTATTTCTCACCAATGTTACTTTATTTTTGATAGTTTTACAATTGAGATGTTGATTAAATTTGAATTGTCTTAATTTTTTTAATTCTTTTCCATATCTATTCAGGAGCTCTGAACGTATCAAGAATCCTCACTTAAGGGCCAAGCTGGCTGAGGCTTTAGAAGCTTTGGTTCCCATTAAAAAGGGACAAGAATTAGAGATGGATAAATCTCCTATTGCTATGGTAAATAKAACAATTATTTAATATTGAATATTATTTCTTTCATCATTTTTGCATAATTATAATGAACATTTTTTAAGTGATAGCAAAGGGTATGACTTTATTTTTAATCTATTAGGAAAGAAGATAAAGTCTTTTATTTTATTTATTTTGAGAGGGTAGCACGTAATAGTCTCTAGACTAATAAACTTGTGGCCCTCTATATATTCACTCACACTCACTACCTCAACATTCATTATTTTACTACACGACACTCCTCATATTCTTGATTTTTATTCTCTTTATAAATTTTCTTTTCTTTCTTCCAGTTCCACAGAGAGCAAGTGTTTCTTAACCATCARGAAGCCATGGAGCATCTACCAATTGCATTGCTGAATCTTTTCATTGATATTGAGTTTACTGGGCATTCAATGGAATTTGAACAAAAGTTTGGTAGGCCTCAAAAAGTCATTGTTCAGTATATTGTCTAAACTGTATATAATCAGTCTCTGATTTAAATAAGATTTACTGTTAATGACATCATCATTTATACTGATGTTATATGATGTTCAACCATACCAAACTGTTATTTAGTTGTTAAATTCAGTAATATTCTAGCTAATTATGATATTTACACTCTGTACTTTGAGTTAATTTTAACATTTTTTTTCAAAAAAGGTTATCGGCACCACATGTACACTGTGCTGGAGTATATCTGGARTCAACCTAAATACAAGGAATCCTTGATGATATTGAATGATCAGGTACATGAACTTGAACTAGATGCTTTTCACAATAAACCATAGCTGGCAAYTCCTCCAGGTAATGCAGAAGTCCAGATTTTGGGTCTTGTGTGCCAGTGATGTGGATAAAAAGCAGAATCTCCTGGATAACCATTCAAGTTGGCAAACTTGACATAATATAATCATGTTATATAATGTTAAAAGAGCACGTAGCGAATCGACTCAACATTCGTAACGAATTGACTTTTTGCGTAACGAATTGACTGGTAGCGAATTGACTTCGGAACGAATTGACCGGATACCAACTCTCCAGATCTGAAATGTTGGGGGTTGGAAGCTCTGTGTTAAACCATTCTTAATAACTATATGATGTATAAGGACTAAAGGAATAAAACCGACCTTAAATATTATTAAATTTTTTGTCTTTGAATTAGTCATGCTAATTTCAAGTTTTTGGTTTCACAGTTTGAGAAAGCTTCAAAAACTGTTTGTAGTGTAAGTGAGAAACTCAAGCTGGTAAAGAAGCCTCCATTGTTATTGAGATTCATAAACTTGCTGATAAATGATGCAGTCTTCTTGCTTGATGAATCCCTTGAGGTACTACATTGTAAAATATCAGATTGTATCACCTCTTGAAAAATCTCAGAGTACATTTATTAAAAACTAATGAATGATAAAATGCAAAGATAGTAGAGTACTAATATAGCAAATACGGCCAGATACTGCTGTTAAATGGTAGATGGTTTGAATACTCTTTATTTTACCATCTACCATCTAACAGCAGTATCTGGGGGCCCATATTTACTATATTGTTTATGTTACTCCCCTATTAACATGATGCTGAAGGATAATTTCTCAAGATTAAGCAAAGTATACCATATAATGTATTGTATTATCATTCAACACGTCACAGAACTTCATCTGGTATTTACACTATTAAAAGTGTTGAATTATCTAAACTGCTACTACTCAGGCAAAATTAGAAACCATTGGTTTTTGTCAACCATATTAAGTAGCAAGTGTCTTCCCTAAAAATGCTAAAATATTAAAGTAACTTAGAAATTTGATCTTAATTATTTTTGAYAGTTTATGACTCAAATTAAGAAACTGCAAGTTAAACAAGACAGTGGTGAAGTGGATGGCCTGCCCGAGAACCAACGTGAAGCAGTAAGTCAATAAGTAATATATACAATATGAGCGGGCGATCTGTATGTAATATACAACTCTCTTCATGAGCTATGATTTCTATTGTGTTTTGCCTTATGAATATTAATGAGTTTTATAAGTGTTGCTCAATGAAAGAAGCTTGTTTTGACCTTGCACAGGATGTGAATAAAGGAGAATGCTTACTAGCTGAGTTTTGTGGTTTCTTATTAGGATTAAAATCAGCAACCGTCTTTCATTTTTAAACTCTTTTTTGTATTCAAGCAGAAGCCAGGGTAATTGCACTGACCTCTCAGATTTAAATCACAGTGACTGGTTGATTATTGAATCGTTTGTTCAAACATTAATTTTGTGTCTCTGTTAGTTTTTAAGGGAACTGCGACACACAGGACAGATGGCAAAAAGTCATAATATTCTTGCTAGTGAAACRGTTCATGCTCTTAGCTTCCTAACAACTGATGTTAAAAGGTAATCCCACTTTGTATATACATGTAGCACTGAAAACTATATTTCTTTATCATAATGTAAAGATATGCCTGCATTCACGTCCACTTCTTTCACATCTCCACTTCCAAAAAAGCCACCACAGTCAAGATAACAAATCTGCCCTGTGTATCTCTTAGGAATCCATTTTGTGGTACTAAACTTTCAAATGGATAAAAATAATGATTTAACATATTTCTCATTCTTTTACAGTCCTATTTGCCTTCCATGTATGGCAGACCGAATGGCAGGGATGCTSAACTACTTTCTGCAACACTTAGTGGGGCCTAAAATGGGAAGCTTAAAGGTAAGCAAACATCATCTATGATTTCTCATGTTTCATTTTGCATTTGTAAAAGATTAATAATTATTATTGTTGCAGTTTTTGTCATAGCACTGTAATGGGTATTATCAATATTGATTTGATGGCAATACTCATTTTGTAGGTCAAAGATTTCTCAGAGTTTAGCTTCAAGCCCCAGCAACTTGTGTCTRACATCATAGACATTTACATAAACTTAGGTGAAGAAGAGTCCTTCTTGAAAGCAGTGGGTGGAGATCAGCGCTCGTACTCCCCTGAACTCTTTGTTCATGCAGAAAGGGTTCTAAGGTATGTACAATATATAGGTGTTGGATTTATTTATTAATT